TAATTTAGAATATATATATATATATATATATATATATATTTATTTATTTATTTATTGGCAAGCAACTTTCCCAACAATAACAACGTCTAATTATATTGTATGATCGGGGGACCCCTAAAGGCTTTCATAAAAAAAGTAAGAAAACCTGAAGAACTTAGAACCACACAGTACTTCGCCCCAAGACCTATATTCATTGAATAATTTAATTAGTTGGTTTGTGTTTTTCCGATCTCTTTATGTTGTTCTATTTGTTTGGGTTGTTGGCCTTTTTTCTGGGTTGTTTTATCAAGCAGAACAGCCCGTTCTCCAAGCAAAACGACCCGTTCTGCTTGTACTCATTATGTTTTTTTTTGTTTACAACATTTTTATGTTGGATCTTGGCAATGTCCGACATAAATTTACGTCAGATTTCACAACTAACGTTAATTTACGTCTCCCGCTTTAACGTCGAACTCTTTTTTTACATAAAAAACTTAAAATAACTGACGTAAATTACCTCTTTTATACTAGTGACTTAATTATATACTTTTTTTCAAGTGCTTATTTTCTCTCTACTAATGTTGAAAAATTTGAATCGTTAAAATGACAATTGACAAACAGAACAGTAAATTAAATCTCTAGTTACTAATCTAAAATATTTTATTATAGATATAGATTCATACTCAACATATATTTGTAACTTTTTTTGAAGCCATATTAGTTCTTTGAACTGAGACAATTGGAACATATATGTAAAACACTCCAAAACAAATATTTATTTCCATTTTAAATAATTTAAAAATAAAAAAGTTTGTTGACTAAATTATTTTTTCCTCGTTAGCAGATATCTCTTGGGTGTCTTCAAATGAGTGGGTGCCCCCAAAAAATGGTATCCTGATTAACATGAATTCTATTTTTATTTTTTTTTTACGGTCGTTCGTTTAGATTGGAAATCCATTCACATGGCTAAAATTCTTTAGTAAAAGTAAATATTTTAAAGTAATGTTACATATATCGATAAAAAGTTATGACTTTTATATTTAACGATCTTTTCACTTCATTTGTGATTAATGCTACATTTACAAAAGTTTTCTTTCTTCTTTTTTTTTTCTTTTTTTTTTTTACAGCAAGTTGTACTACATATGCTAGGTTAGCAAAAAATTTATTATTATTTTTTTAAAAAAAAAAAAAGGAAGAAGAAATTGCGTCGCACCCGTTTGACGTCTGCCACAAATTCCTTCGTGCGTGTTACTGTCTTCTGCTCCACATTGCAACTCTCATTCCCTCCTTTCAATGATTAACTTCTTATAATTCTTCCTTCATTTGTTAAGAAACTAGCGCACCTGGTTGAACTTTTTATTCATAATAATTAGTGTACATAAACACAGGTTTATATTTATGTGTTCGGGTCACTCAAAAAATATTTTACTCGAAGAAGAGATGATTGATGAGGCACCTACCAAAAGAGAATATCAGAAGCTATAAGCATGCATATTCGAGGATTGCTCGAAAAATGTAAGAGGAAGTTACTGGAGGCTTTTTAGCAATTAAGTAGTTACACCAAGGACTGAAGATTGAGTCGAGGAAATAAAAACACATAGAGGAGCAGTTACGAGGAGTTACGCTCAGGTCACGTGGTTTACATAGTGGACAGTGGTTATACGCCCACGTTGAACCCACATAGAATTAACCGCTCTCGATTATCTCTATAAATAGAAGAAGCAACCTTAGGTGCGAGTCGGAAACATCATACTTGAAATTTCAAGAGCACTCATTGCTCGCGCATATGGCTTCTGTGCACGCAATTGTTGAGTATGACTTCTGTGCCATATTTTTCTTCTTTTTATAGGATTGTTTTAGTTTAATATAGCTTAGTTTCATAGTTTATTTTCTTCTACAAATTACTATACATTGTAACTTGATAATTTTTTTTAAAAAAAAAAAAAGGAAGAAGAAATTGCGTCGCACCCGTTTGACGTCTGCCACAAATTCCTTCGTGCGTGTTACTGTCTTCTGCTCCACATTGCAACTCTCATTCCCTCCTTTCAATGATTAACTTCTTATAATTCTTCCTTCATTTGTTAAGAAACTAGCGCACCTGGTTGAACTTTTTATTCATAATAATTAGTGTACATAAACACAGGTTTATATTTATGTGTTCGGGTCACTCAAAAAATATTTTACTCGAAGAAGAGATGATTGATGAGGCACCTACCAAAAGAGAATATCAGAAGCTATAAGCATGCATATTCGAGGATTGCTCGAAAAATGTAAGAGGAAGTTACTGGAGGCTTTTTAGCAATTAAGTAGTTACACCAAGGACTGAAGATTGAGTCGAGGAAATAAAAACACATAGAGGAGCAGTTACGAGGAGTTACGCTCAGGTCACGTGGTTTACATAGTGGACAGTGGTTATACGCCCACGTTGAACCCACATAGAATTAACCGCTCTCGATTATCTCTATAAATAGAAGAAGCAACCTTAGGTGCGAGTCGGAAACATCATACTTGAAATTTCAAGAGCACTCATTGCTCGCGCATATAAAATAGTTATTTATATAATTTGAATTATAAGTAAACATATTGTAAATTATTTTTACGTATTGGCGTTACTCAAATAAAAAAATTGTCTTAAAACTTGACCATTAAATCATACTCTAATATGAGAATGAGAAAAAAAATATTGTACATTAAATCTTATTATAAATGATCATTAAGATTTAAATACACAAGTGGTGACATGACTTTTTTAATTGAAAACGTGACTTTTAATTTTAAGCATATAATTATTTGTAATAATTTCAAAAAAATATTTCAAAATGAAATATTGTGTGGATGATCTACTAATTAACTTTTTTTTTTGTGGTTGTTGTGTGACCTATATTTAATTAATAATGTTGGATGACAATCATGAGCACCGTATTTCTTTTAGTTTGGGTACCAAAACGCAAGGCATAAGACGTGCCTTATGGCTAACGGTTTCCTAGCATTTATTTGAGCATTTATTATATTATTATTTATTCTCAAGCTTGCCATCTTATATTTGGTATATTAAATTGACAAGAATAGATGCCTAGAGAACTCGATAATTAATATAGCTATCTTAGATCTGGTTTAAATTGATAAGTAAGATACCTAGAGAACTAGATAATTAATATAGGATAGCAAATTCGCAATTTAAGAACAAAACTAGAGAACGAATTAAAGTATTCTAATCCTTATCTATATAAATAAATTATTCATTTAATCATTGTCATAAAATCGTGTTATTTGCATAATAATATTTATGTAATAAGTTTTTTTAGCATAACATTATGTGTATTTATTTCTCTCTATCATATAAATCTCTTATTTGACTTGATGAGTTGGTATACCGGCTAAATACTCTGTATTCATATATTATGGAGACACTTTATTTAAGAAAAAATCTGTTTAATTTTTGTTTATCATGTGCGAAAATCTATTGTGCCAATTATAGTTGTATTATTGTAAATTATATTAAATTTTTTTAATTCATAAATATAATTTACACAATATTTTAAAGTTAACAATCAAATATTAATCTGTATTCCTCGGATATTTTCTTTTAAACATTACTTTTTTCCTTTTTAATCTAATGGATTGAAGAAGCTCCTCACGAAAGAAAAAATACAAATATAATATATTTTCCTCTCTTTAATTATGGTATAAATTACATTTCTCTTTATCATAAAATATAAACGGGAAAATACAATTACACATGTCATATTCGCATTAAAACCATGCAGATGCATTGGTTTCTTTGAAGGATCCATGCACAGCCACGTCAAACCTTACAGAGAGTTACAGGCATGTAAAGAAAAGTGATGTACAAACACACCAGCATCCCAAATAAATCACAAAGATTCAAGAAAATGAAAGTTCCATTTGATACACAACATCATAGTAAAATAGGTGTAATTTGATAACCAAACTCGAACTGCATGTGCTTCCAATGAAGGTGAAAAATCAACGAACTTCTGAGATTTGACCCTTTCTCAGATAGTCAACTATTCTATTAGATATGCAGTATGCAGTTGATTGGACTGTGATCATGGGGTTGACACCAACTGCAGTTGGAAGCACACTAGCATCACAAACAAACAAGCCTTGAGCCTCCCATGTCTCTCCATTTTCATCAACTGCACCTTCTTTTTCACTCACCCCCATTCTGCAGCTCCCCATTTGGTGTGCTGAACAATATAGGTTCCAATGTTCACCTGGTGAAAGTGCCCCGTCCACTGGACACACACTGTCCAAAAACTCTTGCACTTCGTTTTCACCAATTCCATTACACCTAAGTCTCTGACCATCACTTCTGTGAGTACCTACTTCAGCTGCTCCTGCAGCTATCAGAATCCTCAGTGCTTGTTGCAAGCCAGCCCTCAGATTCTCTCTGTCAGTTTCATTTATCTTGTAGCTGATTCTTCCCTCTGAAGTTACCTGTCCACTGGCCTTGTCTCTTATTATTGTGATGAAATGTGCTGTTCTAGGGTAATTCAGCATTCTTTGTTTAAAGTCTAGCCCTGACTCCCAAGGGCACAGTGAGGCAAAGGATGCTGGTCCTAGCAAAGGGGTTTCAATTATGGCTCTTGAGTCTGATTTGGAGTCATTTGATGGGACTTTGTGGACTGATGTGATTATACCCCCCTCATAGACTTTGCCCTTGAGTTCTGAGTTTGATTCTGGGAAGTATCCCCATGTCATTAGGACAGGGTGGAGATGAAGGTTCCTACCAATGTTCTTATTCTTTAGTCCACTAGAGATAAGCAAAGGGGGTGTCAAAAGTGCCCCACCAGAAGAAATTGTCAGTTTGGCCTCAATTTGTAGCTTCATTGTGACTTTGCTGTTTAAGGCTTTTGCCAACACTCCCAAGCATTTCTTCTTTTTGCTTCCATTCCCATTCTTGTTACTTTCCAACAAGAGCCTCTCAGCTTTGCATCCTGTTATTATTACTGCACCTTGGTCAACTGCATCCACAAGCCATGTGGCTTGAGTCCCTTGTTTCTCTCCTTTTGGACAACCATAACCACATGAGCCACAGTAGTGGTTCCCTGAAGAGTTTCTTGGCACACAGTCAACTTTTAGGCCAAGATTTTGACACCCTTTTCTGAGCACTTGGTTTTGGAACCCCTCTTGTGTGCAGTTTTCTGTGACACCAATCCTTTCACACACTGTGTCCATTGCAGAAAGGTATTCTTGGCTGGAAAAGAAGGGAAGCTTTTGGTTCTCAGACCACTCTTTTAGGACCTTGTGTGGGGTTCTAATGCAGGCTGACCAATTAATAGCAGAGCCTCCACCAACTGTTGAACCTGCCAAAATTAGTATTCTGGAGTCCACAGAAGCAAGGATCCCTCCGGTTTCATATTGTTGATCCAAGGAAGGCCCTTCTAGGGATGAATAATCCTGAGGAGCAAAATAGTTTCCTTTCTCAAGAACAACCACCTTGTGGCCAGCACTAGCAAGAACAGCAGCTGCAACACCTCCACCACATCCAGAACCAACAACTAGTGCATCACATTTGACTTTGAGGATGTTGCTTTTGGAGTCCAGTGTAACATTGAGGCCTTTCTTAGCAAGAGATTGTTCAAGAGTTGAGTCAGATTCATTCATCGTTTCTATAATCCCCTTTTCAAGGGGCCTAGTGTTGGAGGCATTGGACAATTTCTCATCATCTGATACCTCATATCCAATGGCTTTCCATGCTGGGTTATCACCGTTTTCATCAACCTGCAAAAACTTCAAGAAATTTTCTGTAAACTATCTATTTTTTTAAAATCTTTGAGGTTATAATGTACTTTTGATACCTCATTTTATTTTTCTGTTATATTGGTCTCGTATATTTTAAAGGTTTTTACTTTGGACTCAAATTTAAAAATTTTGTTTTTCGGTCTCTAAAGTGTCTTTATTAGACTAAATGGGTCCTTCTGTCAGTTTAGCATACTTTGTTGGTAAATTTGGTGCTACATGACAAAACTGTAATGACCCTAAGACAAATCAAACAAAATTAATATGGTTACAATAAAAATATGATAGAATCTAACAAAAAACACTTTAAGAGATCAAAGTCAAATTTATTAAATTTAAATAAATCAAAAGCTGAAAGTGGCCAAAAATATATTTTTGTCAAATTTTAGCATGTTAACCTTCTAATCTTTCTTATATGAATTCATTATGTGCAGATGTCAAGTAATAATAATAATTAATAAGAGAACTCTGGACCAAGGTTGAACTTACCCAAGAGAAAAAAACATAGAGGCACAAGACTTTGATATAAACAAATGCCAGCCTAATAGGTGAGAGGAACCTATGATTCAGCCACTTCTGCATGACCTTTTCTCTTTTCTCCAAAGATATGTTTGAGAAGTTGTTGATAAAGGGCCATTTTTCGCCAAGGCAGAGGAAACCACAGAACAAGAAGGTTCCCAACCTTGTTGCCAGCAGCCATAAAACCACTCTAACCAGTAATACTGCTTCTATTAAGCCCCTCTTAGTTAATATCTTAGCAACCTGTTGCCATTGAAAATAGAACATGGTATATGTGAGATATGAAGAATTTAGACAAAAGATTATTCAACTAATTTAACAAACATTACAATTACATCGTTCAAGTTTAGTTTCATTAGTTTTAAAAGAAAATACCACCACATAAACAAATTCTACCAATATGAAAATCTAATATTATTTTTTTTTACCACATTTGCACATGCATTAAAATGTAATAAATAGATTTTATATGAAATTTTCAAAGTGTGGGACCTAACCTATATTAAATAATAATTATCCTGGCCCCTAGTATCGCCACTTGGCTCTAAACTTCTAATGCTTCATTATAAATTAATTAAGACAGCGAGTGGTTGGTTGCAAATAAAAAAATAAAAAATAAAAAAGTCCAAATTACACTGAAGAAATGAAGCCATGGATATGGTTCAACCCTTATACTAATGTCTCTGAGATAACATAGTAATATATGAAATTTCTTCTCTGTGCAGCAGCAGCAGGCAAGTGTGTA